ATTATTATTACTATTATTGTTGTTGTTTTTGTTATTATTATTATTTGCCAAAACTGACATGGGATTGTCGTCCAGTAATAGTCCGCTTTCTTTGTTCTTCCTGATGATGATGTTGATTTTGTCGTTGAACGGGCCGCCTTGGGGCAAGTAGATTGTGCTGGAGAATGAGAAAAAACAACCTGATATATATATATACGTGAAACACAAGTTGAAATGTAAATCATTTACAATGTTTTGGGGTTTTTTTTTGTTATTTTGTTTTGTTTTTTTGGTGCCTTTTTGTAAGTGTTTTACGAAGCTCGAAACTGCATAAGGTCATATGAGCGCGCGGGACACATTAAACATTTTTCAGTTTGTAGGAAATTTTGAATTTAGCCCGGGTGGCGGCCGAAGCCTAATCTTATGGATTTTAGACCACCAAGGGATCTTTAACGTGCGCAACTTGCACTTGTGACCTTCGAGGTTTTTCGCCCTTGTCCGAGAAGGCTAGGTGTAGATCTTTCCTACCAGAAGACCAGGGGTGTGGCTGAAAGACAGCAGTAAGAAGGATCCAAGGAGTAGCAGTAGAAAGGCTGCAGAAATAGCCAGGAGCCCAGAGGAGGGAGCAAAGAAGGTGAGGGGGTGGGGGCAGAAAGTGGAGACGAAAGCAGACGAAAGAACATTGGCAGAGAGCAAGAAAAGAGGTGAAAGGAGACCATTATAGAGAAGAAAATTTTCCGGTCGCTACCCGGATTCGAACGCAGGACCTTTGAATGAGAGGCGAACACCTTAACCTGTAGGCCACGAGAGCCCCCTAGCATGTTTAAAAAATAATAATAAACAAGAACATTAAATAATAACATAACTTGGAGATCGAATCATTGTTGTTCATATTCTCTTGTTTTTTCATCCCCATTGTAGAAAAGTAACTGTATTTACTTACTCTCACACTCATGGTTTGTGTATGTCTGATACGAGTAAGGTCAGTAATATTGCACCCTTAAAAGCGACATTGGACAAACATGCTTTTAACGCTATTGAAAGGATTCTAGCATCGTTATTTGATATTAAAAGAGATAAGGATAAAATAGAAGGAGAGAAGGAAGTAGAAAATGTTGAAATAAAGCTTGGGATCAAAAAGATCAAATGATCAAATAACTGTTTGGCATAAAATGAATGTTTTCCGAAAGATGGAGAAAGAAAGAAATAGAAAAGGAGAATGATATTTTAATAGCGTAGTATGTTGTTAAAAAGTAGACAGTTTAATGAAACTTAATTAATGGGGGTGTAGTAACATTTTATAACTACGGAACATTAGGAAGTAAAACAAATAATCAAGAGAGAGCGAGAGAGAGAGAGAGAGAGAGAGAGAGAGAGAGAGAGAGAGAGAGATAGAGAGAGAGAGAGAGAGAGAGAAAGACAGAGAGACAGGACACGGTGGGAGAAAAGGGGTAAGAAATTAAGCTACACAAATCTAGGTTGTAAGAAGAGTTTACCTCCACGTGATCTCAGAGATGAACTGAGGGATGGGGATGAGCAGAGACATAGAGGGGTCACCCATAGTGGGCCCGTCATCTTGCCACGATTTGCCCACCATTGCTATAGACACGGGCTTGTCACTTGTGACGTAATAGTGAGTGTCTGTGGGGATATCCACCTGGGAAGAGGAAAATGGTAAGTTTGTTTATCCAATTATTGTACGTGGCATAAAGTTATCATAAGCTGCACATAATAATGTAGGTATGTCATATGACATATAATATGTAGGTGTGCAAAAAACGGTTAATTTGCAGTTTTCAAGGGCACTCAAGCTTTGGAAGTCACCAAACTTTGGAGGCTATTTTCTTTCTGACTTTACCACCAATGCCTGGTGAGACACACCCCACCCCCCACTCCCCCCCCCCTCCCAACCAATTTCGAATATCTCGACCTCTTTCCAAAATTTGGAAAAGATAGATTTATTTTTCATCAAAACAAATACAAACGAACAGACTTTAAGGTGATACTATTATTTCCATATACCCTTAAACTGACGAGCACCTGATTCCATGGCATCTTGTCACATTTTACAATTAATATGTTATGGTATATGTCTACATGTACATTACGAAAAAATGTGTATTATCACATTATAGTATGATAAACTATAGTACTATATCATATTATATTATATTATATTATATTATAGTAGTATATCAATGGTATAAATCTACTATTTCATCGTTTAAAAAAAAACAACTGCAAGTCCGGACCGACCTCTCTTTTTAGTTTTAGTAGAGGTTTTACTGTGCTAGCAACTGCATAAGGTCATATGAGCGCCAAGGGATGGATGTCAGCAAAGAAGTCCAAACGGGGAATCAGGCTAACTCTGCTCACCTCTCTAGCCTTAGCGTCAACAGGATAAAGTCTACTTCAGCTATCAAGACACCCCGGAAATAGCATTTCACAAGAGAGTGGCAAACATACAAAAGAAGTAGAGGAAAATAACGCCTGTAGTAAGGATGAGGAAAGGAAAAGCAGCAGTTCCTCCTATGTTGTTCCGGCACAGTATGAGCATAAAATTGATCTATCAGCCCATTTACAATTCTACTTTGCATAAGAACATGTTAATACCCCCCTCCCTCCCTTAGGAATGCCCTAAGGACAATTCCAGTCAGTAGCACACTGCCCTGGGGGTGGGGGGGGGACTGACCTCTTTGAAATCTCCAGCCAGTTGTAGCGTGAAGGTGATGGCACCGTTGCCAAAGTTCACGTGAGTGTTATCCTCGGAGGCCACGACCCTGAACAGATCGCCGATAGTGCGCTCCGGAGTGCTGATGGTGATGAAGTCTTTGCCCCATGTGTCCACGGGAAGGATCATTTCTGGAGGAGACGACAATCCGAGGAGAGGAGGGAAATGGGGGATTAGGGGGTTTGTTTGCTATTCTTCTAGTCTGACCCCCTTGGCCACTAGGTAAGGAATAACAGTGTGTGTGTGTGTGTGTGTGTGTGTGTGCATGTGAATGAGGTTTGTCAGATTCTCCACACAATACAAACCCTGTTGATTAATATAAATTGTAGAAAAATACAATACTTTGGCCACTTAAAACGACACCAGACCATGGTGAAAGAGGCGCTGGAAGGAAGAGTGTTGGGCATGACAGCCAGGGGTAGACAAAGAGTTACGTAGACGGACAACATAAAAAGTTGGACTGGCCTGGATATAGCAGAATGTGGAAAGGCAGCTCGCGACAGTGAAGGATGGAGGGTCATTACACGCCCACCTCTGAATCAGAGATAACACCTCCAGACTAGGCAGGCAGTGTGTATGTGTGGGGTGGGGGGGG